CCTCTTTGAACATGTATTTAAGACAAAGTTAAATATAAAAACCGATTATGCACTAGCTGCACTCAGTGCGCACTAGTGCAAGTAACCGAGTTCGCTATTAATCTTTAGCTCGCATAGAGTGACTAGTCTTCACTGTAGAAAGTATTAGAAAATACATGGATATTGCGGAAATATTTGGTCATTTCTTTTGCCCTCTCTACAAATTTTGACCGACATTTATTGCGTGACTTCGTAAGGAAAACGGTTTCTCCTAATTTCTCGCTGTCGTGTGTTTAATCGTTGCCCTAAATATACAATCGGGCTTCACGGAACTAATTTCCGGCTATTAGCGGTGTTTGTTCACGGCGATTTGGTTGCGCAAAAGCCGTGAGGTCGAGCTGCTGCCTGCCAGTCAAAGGCTCATCTTTAGCGGCGTATCGCCGGCGGCATTTAGATTCTTCTGTTCTCTCTAATGAACCGCGAGTTATTTGCACTTATTGCCGAAGCGCGCGTTTTCGCATCATCGAACCGCGTTCTCGAGATCGAAGCTACGAGATCGGCGCCTCGTTCTACTCCACCTCGCGCGTGGTAATTTATTACGTTTTCCGGCGATCGATTATTTCCAGCTATTGTGCGTTCAGTCGTGCGTGAAGTTGTAAGACTCCTCCTAACTGCATACATTTTCGTCGGCATGTCGACGTATTGAATTTCGAAGGCAGGATTTCTGGCGTTTCTCAGGCAGGATCGTTTTCATTTTCACACCGAGAGCAAAATCGTATATTCGTGTATTCTAACGTATAATGAATAATCTTATTGTTTGATGAGCGCACAATGCATAGATTGAAACAGAGGAGGAAAGAAAAAGAAATTGAAAGAGACCTTTGTCTAATGCATAAGTAGATTAGCATTTAATTAAGATGAAGTAACAGGAAAGAGGGAACTCCGTTTTGTTTTTGCCTCTTTCCGTCCAATGCAAATTCCGTGGGGTGCGCCGTGTGCAAAATAGTACATTAATTTTGTCGGCAGATCAGACCTCTCAGAGACCCCGTATCGGCGAATCTACGACGAACGATTTCGGCGCTCACAAACGCACGCCGGATCGCACGCACCAGAACGGACTCGAGCGATTGAGCTAAACTGGCGCAATGGATAAATTGCGGCACTTCGGGCGCGTCGTCTTCTTTTTCTCGCGTCCTTCGTCTTTCCTCTTCGACGATCGTCGATAGGCAGACCCGGCAGCGTGACGATCATTACATTCAATCGGGCTGCTTGGTACGCCGCGCCGGCGCGGCATCGTTTCAAGAGAGCCTCGCTCTGCGGACGCGAACAAAAACCTTCGCGGAACAATCAGCTCGGGGCGCCTCCCTGCGACGGGGCCTCGTCCACGAATTTGAGGTACGTCGATAATGACGCGTCTCGTTTAAAGTACAGTTACGTCCCTGATCACTTCTAATTAGTCCGCTTCCAAAAGCAAACGGATCGTTAACGGCGTCTCTTTTCGATATAATGTCGAGTAACGGCGGATCCATCACCGGCCTAATTGCGTTTTCGAAAACGACTTAATCAAGAGAAAAGGCTTTCCGTAATTCCCGATTAAGGTCGGGCCAATCCTCCGAGAGGGATGCGCGTAACGACGCACCGTTGTAACATGCCTTAATTGGACCGCAATTAATAATGCATGGTTGCCTGAGTGCATAGTTCCGCGCGAGCGTTGCGCCCGTATAATCTCACTCCGCTAAAGAGCTCGGCACCGTTCACGCGATCCCCGTGCATGCGGAATCAGCGTGCGTCTTGTTAAGGCTCATTTACACAGGCGACCTTGAAAAATGGTTAAAACGTTGGCCGGCGACAAATTATGCAATCGCGCGAGGAGCCACCGGGCTATTTCTGAAGACACACGACGCCTCGAGGCGATCTTTAGGCGAGCCGAGATTTTATCGTCTTTATTACAACCGCATAATAATGCAGAAATATGAAAGAAACCACGACCTTTCCTCGAAACGCCCTAGAATGTCTCGCAGCGATAAAAAGGATTGTACAACTCCTGTTAAGGCCGAATCAGTCTAGCAATTGCTGACTCGGATTGGATTGGGATTGGCGATTGTCCTCTGGCCAATGAGAGCCGATTAAGTGGCCGGCTGCTTCGCTCTCATTGGCTGAAGGACAATCGTCAGTTCCAATTGAATCCGAGTCAACAATTGCTAGTCCGATGCGGTCTTTACGCTACGCTATGCCCACTGGTAACCTCGAGAAAACGCTTGTGTTAGCGAGCATTAGCGAGTGGTACCGTACAACGCGGTTCTTTATTTTCCCGATGAAGCTACACCCGGTAGCACCCGAAGAATGCGACCAGCAGTTGCCCCGCGATTTCATCAGATCAACTGCACGCTGATGCGCAATGCGCCGCCGCGACAAGTTGTCGGGACATATCGCGCGTATTTCAAGAGATTTACAATGTAGTAGACCTGCGGCACCGGGTATAAATACCGCCGTTATATCACTCGCGCGTACGTTACGTCGCGTTATTAAGGCCATCTAGCCGCTTCTGGTTGGTTGACCAAGTACAGATTGACGTAATGCGACGATCATTGTGCGTGAGAGAGCTCGTCCAACGAAATGGCTTCTGCAGCCGTCTTTCGGACTGGTCTGTTCTCTAGAAGGAACGTGTCGCGAGCGATAAGATCCCGCTTGAAATTCTATCGAGTAACTTTTCGCAACCGTGACTCGCTTTACTATCAATAATAGGCATCGGAAATCAAATCGAGAAGCGTTATTTCAACCTCGAGCCGTCCATTTTATGTCGCAACTTGAAAAACTTTTTGACGTACAGACGAGAGCCGAGTTTGTCTTCGATTGTATCTAGACCTGTTCAAGTTTGAATTTAAATTGTGAATTTACGGTCAACAAGTAGGAGTTCATTGTCCGCTAAAATCAACATCGCGCTTGACGTTGCGCTTTTGGTTGACAGGACGTCCGTTCCGCTGGAACACTGCGTGCAATAGGGACTTTGTAAGATCATTCGTGCATTACCGGAATGGAATCAAATTACAGGTTGTCTATGTAAGGCGCACTTATGGGAGAATGCCCGAGGCATGAGTTTAATATTAATGGTACCTGCCTGCAATAATCGAATGCCTGGTAATGCATAATGTTTAGCGGCGGAGAGCGAGAATTATGCGGCGAAAATTATGCGGCAGAGAGGAGTTTTCACCTACGAGGAATCATCAAGGTGCGCGAGAGCCCGCGCGCGTACGCAAATATTATACGTCTGTAATCTCGCGGAAGGCGCGTACACCTCTAAATGCGGCAATGATCCGTGCGGATTGCGCAATCCGCGCCTCCCGCGGTTACCAAACGCGCCTGTACTCCGGCCGTACACTTATCGTTAAATGAGCCGTTAGGCAGAACAGAAACGCAGTCATATTTCCCGCCATTGTGAGAAGCGCAAAAGTATGCGGGGCTAATTAAGGCGATGCATGCTGGAGTGGTTCTGCACCTTTTGCACTTCTTGCATCTAGAACTGTCAATTCGTGAAAGCATTTGTGTAATATACAAATTGTGCGACTCTTGTGTACAGACCGATAGCGTTCCGCTATTCGGACTAAATCGGAGAACAGCGCGGTTTTATTGGCCGCATTCAGCGCACACAACAGTTGAGGGATCGCTTCCTCTACTAGCGCTCTTTTCTGGTGAATCCCAAGTAGAACGAGCACAGAAACGTCAACGTGACATTAACATGATGAATTTTACGTCATAAAATGATCGACATCAAGATTCACTTTGCAACGACTGATTTACGACATGCTGTTTTATGAAATTCGTGATGTGTATAATAATATATTATTACAGATCACATGATCAGTCATACATTATGTTTATCTTATATTATTTCAATTTATTTTTGACGGAAAACAAGATCATTTTTACAACATTTTGATGTCTTAATGATGTCACAAATAGGTGCTCTCGGTGGGTAATTTTGACGTCACCATGATGCATAAAAAATGACCAAAAAATTATGTCATCTCGATGTTTTTATGACTAATATGTTCTACGGCGAGTTCTACTGTCTTTTTCCATTTCGTAAAACTCGAAAAAGATACAAAGAAAGTTGAAACGAGATTAAAGTTAAACTGCGATGGTAGAAATATAAGACAGCGATTTTTAATCATTAATAACTCGTTAAATATTGCGAAAATTGCAAAGTGGTAGAGGATTTTTCGACTCAGTTTAGTTCGCTCTATCCAAAAATACGAGGTGAGCCGGGTATTACATAACACCCTGTATACTACACTCACAACAGTTGCGTCGATGTAGCGTAAAAATTTCTGCTCGAAAACATGGCGTCCGCTACCGCAACATGTTGCGGGGGCGCTTCGGATCATAGGCCATTCAGCGCATAAATCCACAACTCACTGAATGTGGCCATTAAAATTAAGTTTAGAAGTCTAACAAAGAATCAAATCAAAATCAAATAATTTGTATATTACACAAATGTTTTCATGAATCGACAGTTCTAGGAGCAAAAGGTGCAAAAAGTGCAGAATCACTCCAGCATCCCCTTAACGTGAAATCCGCCTAGTTTATCGCAGCCTAGTTCACAGTTCTACAACGGGGAGATTCTAAAATCTCGCGCTCACGCCGGGATAATTGTGAAATGGTTGCGAAGGAAATCTATTATCTTGAGCGATTTGTACCGCTACTCCGGCTGTAGCTCGGCGTTAAATGGAAGGTGAGAATCGAGGCTTGACGCGCGGATTTGTCGACGGCGATGTCGTCACGTTATTATAGGTGCGACTATAAACATGCCGCGCACGCGGTCCCAAGTTCGTCGTACGTGCGTTCTCCATTCCTCCCGGCGCGCCGCCGCGCGCTTTTAACGACCGGCGGAACCGAGCGACGACCGGACGGCGCGCGTTTTAATTGCGATCGAAGCGATCGTTTAGAGAGTACAAACGGCTGCGTCTCCGCGATAAAGGAGGGTCGTTAATAGCGGCGCAATTTCTGTTTTATGTTCGCAGGCATGCGCGCCCAGGTACATCTGGTTCTCGGTGTCGCAGCCCAAGTACGATCCCGATGACAATAAGTGGAGCAAGGAGTCCACGGCGGGCAACAGAAGAGAGCCAGTGGGCACCTGCTGGGTCGCCGCTAATAACTTCAACGAGTCGCAGGAATACTCGCCTTGTCGCACGAGTGAGTTGCCGAGAGCTCTTTGCCGAATTTTACCAATGTCGCCCGATCCCTTTCGAATCCCGACAGCCTCGATAGCATCGAGGAGAAATTTAAATCAGGCTATTCGCAATCGTCTTTAACGTCGGACGCGCCGATAAATCGAACACTGGAGTTTAAGTCCCGTTAGGACAAGATCTGTTAAACGAGACAAAATCAAGAGCAAGGCCTTATTCCATGTCTACTCTATATCTATTCGATACTTCAACGCATCTCGTACGCGTTATTTCGATATTTGCGGCCCGAGGAAGCGCGTGATAAAATCGCCGGGCTCCTCGACTGTTAACAAAACGAGAAATCGTTTCTCCGAAGACTTCCGTTCCTGACGAAAGCTTCGCCTCGCGGTAAAGTAAACAGAACGATGCACGAGTGAATGTTTAATTTCCACTCTCGCCGGCCTCTCCGTCGCCGGTATCGAACTTTCTTTCTCTCCCACAAGGGCGGTACGATTTATAGTGCGCGCGTCGCCCTGCCATCCGGATTTAGCTCGGTTTACGAGAAAGACCTGGGAAGAACGAAAAAAAGGAAAAGATCTTTCGAGATTTTTGTGCGCCTGGAACTACGTTCGCGACGTGAGCTATAAACATTTGTGAAACAAGCACTCTCGAAGGCGCAAGACAAAGTGGACGCGTCCTCGAGAGGCGCAAGAGGGTAGCTCCCACCGTGTCCTCCTCGTTCTTCTGATAATTCGTCTCGCCGAGGATCTCACGAGGACGAATTTCCTCTGCGACGCGACAAGGATCGCGGCCGACGTACGGTCGTGTTCTCCAGGCATGCGACCGTAAATACGTCACGTAACAGGATACTTCCTGCCGACGACGTAGGTCTGCGTCGTGTCCTAATGACAAAGGACGTACCGATTTTCGGCGCTGCCCCGCCCGACACGGCTGATTTCAAAGCAATAATTAGCGATGATCTCAGTACTTGCATCAGCAAGCAAATAATAGCGCATCGCCCGGGAGTGCAATCACGCGTAGCGATTTTAAGTGTCGTACGTTACAATATGTTTGACCGGTTTCTTTTTCGGGCAAATAGAAAACGAACAAATACGATTTTGCCATTGTTTTAAGATTCACGACCATCGCGAGAATTTCTCACGGGTTTTGCAAGCATTCGTGAAGCCGAGAGATATGTAACTCTATTTCATTTCCAAATATTCGAATTCACTTTCTACTTTCTAGGTTCTTAGATTTTATTCTTCTCGTTCCTCACGCTCCGGTATTTCCTGATAATCTGTTGATACTGTTCTTGAAAAATACCATATTTAACTTTTATCTCGTGGTTATCATGACGTGGAAACAAGCCGTCGCCAGACACCAGACATACAGGCAGATACAGGCAGAATGCAATCTTGTAAATTACTCACATTGTTTTCGAAATAAAATATCGAGCGTGCAAACTATATTGGTACAACTACCTACTTCCTCCGGAAACATTTGCGAAACATTTGTCATAAAACACCGTTCACCGCTGATGACTCAAAAAGTTCTCAAAATCTCTGCACAGATTCTGATAAAATATTAAAAAGCATCTATCGCACTGAGAAACTTTGTTTATCCCAAATATGTTTTCTGTAAATTTTTCAACAGACTCTTCATGATTTTTTAAGGAAATCGGACTGGATTTTTTGCTTAATTTCAATTGAATTCTAAAAAGTTTTCTAAGTGAAAAGCTCATGACAATCTTTACGCAATTGGTGCCATACGTTAAGGCAGCTTACGAGTTTTGTTTGCTGGGACGCAAATAACGTGACGCGTGTTTTTAGAATCGCACTTTCCTGCAATTAAAGTCGCGCGCTTCCTCACGCGCGAGCGAACATTTCGGCAACCCCGTCACTATTGCGTGTTTTATGACGCGCGAACTGACGCACTTCCGGTCGTTTGAGGGAGGACTCGAATATCCATTCTGCGTACACATTGAATTGAACGCAAATTAAAATTAAATAATTAAATTAAACGGTGTAATTGAAATCTTAAAGCGACAAGTAAATAATTGAGCAACTGAATTGTTCGTAATACAGCTGACAACTATTGCTTGTTTAAATATCCAATTTAATATCTAATTATGATCAGATTAGTGCAATCTTCCGAAAAATTTTGCAATCAATTTTATCTCTCGCTCTATTTGTTGATTTACTATTATTCAATCAGTGTACACAATTTTCTAATTTATACGGCAAAAGACCACGATATAAAGATAAGATCCAATGAAAAATACAAAGAAAACCCTTTTATGTACAAGGATGACGCCTGGCTTGCGTGCCCTGGCGACTTTCCAAATAAATATTAGCAGAATTCACCGAAGTAAAATCTTCGCGGAACACAAAGTGCGGAAGCGAACCCGCAGCCTCGATGACGACGATGACGTGTGAGCTCATCGTCCAGAAATTCCGCGACGACCGCGCAATTAAACAATTTGTAGGAGCCGAGTCGAGCGAACGAACCGCTTGGTGCCGCTTTTCCCGGGAATCGTAGAGCCTTTTTAGCGAGGCGTCGGATCTCACCCGGAGTTTATAACGTCGTGTCGACGTTACTTTATCTCACGCCAGAGTCAAGTCGCTCATAATCGCCTTTTTTGGAATTAAACGTCCATCGCCCTGCCGTTCTGTTTCGCCCGTCCGTTGTTGCCCACTGGACAAGCCGAGGCGACAGCGAAGCTATCGGTGGCTTTTATTTCTAATTTTCTTCGTAAGATCGCCGTAACAGATCGCAAGTGGATATGTACGAAAAAGGTTCTAGCAAACAGCTTCTTATTAAATATATAGTTGAAGAATGCATAAAGATTATTTCGATAATGACAAAAGTATTTTCAAAATATGACTCACCACACTTTGAAAAATATAAAATTTTAAGGGCGAGAATTTTTTTTAAGTACGCTTGAATTGGTTCTTATTTTCTGTCTTTTGCACAATCTGACATCTCCAAGGAATGTAAGGAAAATAATTACGTAGTCGACTGTGTCTCGAATAATTTTTGTGAAACGCGATTACGTGGAAATCAGGTCGGGTGTCGCTCACGTTCTGATTACACCTTCTGAGACTGAAACGATGATCCGATTCTGTGTTAAAGCTCGACTTCTGGCTAACCGGTGGACGAAATATAATTCTAGCGTAGCGTCCACAGAATTTGTATGAACAACTGTGAAATTTATTCCTCGTTACGCGACAATATTACTCAAGAGGAATTGTTCCGCAAAGTAGAGTTCTATAACGCGTTTTATACCGTTAGTCGCAGCTGCTTTCGCGTTGATTATCTTTTGCAATTACTACCCTATATACTGTTGCTATATTTAATAGTCTCGAAACAAATGAGAGCCAGTCGGGTGGAGATGCACGGAGGTAAACATTTTTCACGTGCGCAACTGACAAAAGGAAGGCAGCAGTGGAGAATTGCAGTAAGTGCATTCCTCGATGAAAGGCGCCCACTCGCTCGAGTGGCTGGGAGGCATCGTAGAAAAAAAAAAGAAAATAATAATTGGAAGGCGCCTCTCGGACCAAGGCGCTAACTCGGCACCGTTCTAACGAGGCCAATTAGCACTTAATCCTACTTGAATTACGATCGAGCTACCGATCTCCAGCGAGTATATACCTTCTCTCCCCCCCTCCCCCTCCCCCCCTCTCTCTCTCTCTCGGTATTGCAATTTCATTACAATAATTTTTTTACAAACGTAATTATATAACACGTATCTCATTTTGTACAAAAAGGAAGAATGCATCGTGCGATCTTTTAAGGAGTGTGCGGGAGCCTTGCGAGATATATTTTTTATGATCAGGATACCATGAACTATCCGATACACACACCAGGACTCGATTACACGGGATCGCCCGGGAACGTTGTCAGGAACAGCAAGACCAATTCTCCGAAAACTTATTTTATTTCTTGTCACCTCAACTACTGACACCGGACTGACTGCCACACACCTCACTCTCTCTCTCTCTCTCTCTCGTCAGGCAAAGTCTCTTTTGACCGAAAACAGCGCTTTTCATAATACACAACGGATCGTTACGTATAGGTCATTTCAATATCCTACAGGAGGGGGTTTCTTTCTTGAAATTACCGATAAATTTACATCATGCGACGTTAACTAACTCACGGCCGTTGAAATTTGTATCGTAAAATACGAGTAATTTTATCGAACGTATATGTGTAGCGGGATGGATCGTAACCCTTGAGTAAAAAATTCTAGTTCGTCAATTGAAATTAGCCTTGATTGAAAAACCCTTTCTAATTGAAATTAACCCTAATTGAAAGATCGACGCGAGAAATTAAGAATGTGTATTTTCGGTGCGGTCGCGTTGTCGCCCTATTTCCGAATAAAAGAAGTGACCCGATAATGCATATCGGGGATGCGTAATCGCGCACCGACCACGCGCGCACACACGCACGTGCGAACGAGAATTACAGTAGCTCCATTCATTCCGCGTAACTCGATTAAGACTCGGTCGTACAACTCGAGCTCGTCTCCCGTAACGCTCCGATTTCTTTATTGGGCGCTTCATCGTCAAAATCGTTCGCGGCCAAAATCGCCTTCGGTTTAAAATCACTCGCCCGTCCCGTTTATCGAGTTAGCGTCCAGCTGTAGCGTTTAAATCGAAACGCACATAAAAAAAAAGATGCTATTATATCCGGGGCTACTTCGCGACCTGGTCCTGAGGCTCTTCGATATCAGAGGGTGCGAATAATCGTGAATATTTTCCTGTTGGGGAAAAAGTTTCTATCTTCCACTTGTGCTCGCGATGTCGACTCGAGTTCGAATGCGGAGTGGCCTCTTACCGACGAGAATAGCACCCTTGCAAAGCGTGAGGACGAGACGGATTATAAATAGATCGACCACCGACGATATCGCGGTCGAACGCGCATCCGTTGTTACTTCACGGATGATACCATTATCGCGAATCCCCGATAACAGCTGTCAATGAACCGATTAGCGCTACCCGTCGTATAAGACATAAAAATTAACCGACGGATGTCCGATTCTACCAATGCAGATTAACTTTAATCTCGGTTTAAATTACTTCTTATCTAATTCCTAAAGCCAGAAAAAGATATAAAGTGAACCGAGATTAAAATTAAACTGCACTGGCAGAAATGGACATAAGTCTAAGTTTGAGCGTCCTCGCGCCTTTCTAATTCGAAGAAATTAGGCGAACTCTATTCGCATTGGTTTCTATTAGAAATTTCTGTTAGGAATTCGAAAGGGTTAAGTGCGAGACCCGCAGATATCTTGCGAGTGAAATTATTGTCACGAGACCTTTTCTGACAGTCGGTGACTTGAAACTTTCATCAGGTTGCACATTGAGCTCTGCCACTGTTTTAGGAGCGACACGCGCGGCACCGATATTCGACGACGCGACGTGGCGCCGATCGCTCGCTTTATATCTGCTTTTTCGTCGCCGTCGTTGCCGTCAGCGACGACGAAGACGGCCGCGATCGGATTGATGTAATTGCGTGACTGACAGCTCGTCTAAAGTGACCGATCGTCTGTCAAGACCGACCCGCTGCTGCGTTCATAACGCACGTACGCACATACGTCTGTGCAGGCACATGTGTAGAAGAAGAAGGTCGGATTCTGCGGGTCGAGCCACCGGATATTCGAACACATACGCACACTCCTACACACACACACGAGCACGCATGCATTTTCTTGCGGACGCTACGCCGCAGCGGCCGGGTCTGAATGGCACTGACCCTGTCAGTCGGCTCTGGCCTGATAATTTGCTACTTGCAGCTAGCATCGGCGACTAATTACGGAAATGACCGAGGCGTTAACGGCCGGCACCCGTAAATTCCTCGCGTCGCGTCCGCTCGCTTCGCGAAGGGTCGATTTGCAAAAATTCATAAAGTTAATTAAAATACATATTAATGTAGATAAATCAGACATTAGATAATCCCGTTTCCGTGGTCGTAGATTATTCGTCACTTCCGTGGAACGTTGTCCCTCGTTAAATCGTCATGTCCACAGATTTATGCCGTCGCGTTGATTGCGCTAGATTTATCTCTGAGTCGGCGATGATTTATCCTCGTCGATAATAATGACAACGATTAATCGTAATAACATCGCAATTATCGCGAGATTGATCCATTATCTTTCTGGCTCTTGTCAGTTATTGCGCATGCTGATGTTGCGATAGGCATCTAATTAGTGATAGAGATAAGTTACGAACGTGCGAATATTGTGAAGGTAGGAGATTTTATCTAGCTCGCGAATGTAATGACCACTGAGAGGTATGAATATCATTAATCTACGCGCAGATAATTGCATTTTCGATGACTCAATTGTCGTACATCGCCCGGCGCAACTTTCTGTCGTTCGTACTCGGTGTGCGTTGTTTCTCGAAGGGACAGAAATCGAATCGTTTTCAAGCGTTTAGTTAAGATAAATTCGTCTCCCTTTTAATTTTAACGAGCTTCAATCACATTCTCCACGTACAGTTTTATTAACGCGATATCGTTGCTACGTTAGATTTCGTCCAGCACGGAATTCCTTTTAGCAAAACTTCTCTTATCGCACGATTAATTGATTTCGTTTCAACGCGCGGTAGACAGAAACGCGTAGAGTCCTTTTACATTTCGAAACGAAAGAATTTCGGTGGAATCGCCGTCGATCCCCTCGACCTCGCTGCCGCTATTGCCTACCGTCTAAAAGCGCCTATCTAAAAGTGCTGTTGCGTTATCTAGTTAACGAGCGTAGATACTCGATGACCATTTCCCGGATTGCTGTTGTAAAACGCGCAGCTTGCACTGTCGACTCGTCACGGCGGTTCGGACGGAGAAAACGGATCGCGGAGGCGTCACGGCGGAAGATCGATCTGGGATTAATGACGCGTGTATACACGCACTACTTTTGCTTGCGCGTGCAGTCGGTCTGCGATGCCACTTCACTTCCTAGACGAGTGCGCGGAACTCCAACAACGTGCACGTTTATTTAATACGCTTGCAGGATGTGCCCGTCCAAATTTATTTATTTTATAATTGAGGAATATAAAGAGAAATAAGCTTTAGCTATCCTGCTACGTCTGCATTAATCACGTATACGGATCTTGTTTCAACTTTTTATCATTTTTAAATTGGGCTGTGTCATGTTTCTACTCTTCCTCGAATGTTTATTGCATTATCGCTCGTAAGAACACATGTATATGCAAGGCGTAAATGTATACGAGTGTTTCTAGTGCATTGAACTCCGAGTTCTCTAGTAAGCCTAAATACCTGTGTTATCGCTGCGATATTATTATAAATTTGTAAAATAACAGAATGGGACTTTTTTTCTTAAAACTCTTGATAATTGAAAAACCTTATTTTTGGCAGATAAAAAGATAATCTCTTGCGATTTGGTTAAATTTTTGTTAGTATCCAAGTTTGAAATGAATTTTTAACGTAGAAAAATTGTTATATACCATTGTATCAACTTGTAACTTTTAATCGACTATTAAAAAATTATCTACTATTACGAATTATCACGTTGCGCAATAGGAAGCAATTTATTCAAATTGTACTCACGAGATATGATGTCTCTGTTTGAAGGAATGAAGGACGCAACGATATAATTGTCTGTTTCCGTTTTAGGGTTCTGGGGCTATCACAGGCAGGGCTCTTGCCAGGCTGGTTTAGGAGCCGCGTTATCTAAGGTAAGTGACTTAACTTTCTCGCCCGTCACATATAGAGAATGTTGTGACGGTTTCTTTTTTTTCTGTACACCCGAGATATGATCGCAATGTGAAAAATACTGGCCTAAGCTTAAACATCTTGGGCTCCGCGTATCTTAAGTCGACGTGTTCGGAGCTACGCGGTTCAAAGTGTTCGTTCACGTCTCAGCATCCTAAAGGCCCACGTAACTTGGAGGTTCGCGACAACCGAATCCGCATCGCGCGAACGCGAATACACGGTGGCTGCGACGTTCCGAAAGAGTTAGAAGGCGACGCGGGGGCCGAATATGGCCAGGAATGCGAATTCCTACCTTACGCACCTCCGGCCGTCGTTCCGGGCATTCGTATTCGTGCCGTAGCGCATCCGCGCGTGGTGCAGCCCGGGGACTTTCTCTCGCGTACGATTGTTTTGTCCGAAGCTCGATTCTCCGGCAGATCGCTGACCGATGGGTCAGGGGTTCGTGGGCGTCTCGGGCGCCTTTTTGCTCGCTTTTCATTTCGAGGATGCACCGCCGGGTAGCCCTGTCTCTGTACGTAGGATGCTTGTTGCACCTGCACAACCCCCACGCGCTGATATGCCCACTTCGTCCCAACGACATCGCGATAAATATCGCCATCGACAAATCGGTAGCTGCCGCAACTTTCACCTTATGACGCGGAGATCTAAAAAGTCTCGATGCAAATGTCTCGCGATAAATTATGGCCACATATTTTGTTCTTTCACTTTGCAGCAAAAGGATTTGATTCGCCTGAAACTTGCATATCGTGGAAATTGCATATTTTCTATCGATGACACGAGAGAAGTCATTTGAGATCTTTTCTTTTGTAGAAAAGATTTTTGTTTAACGTGATACTTTTTACGCCGAACTTTGGAATAAAAAAAGTTTTTGAACATAAAAATCTCTTTAAGTTGCTAGTAATAGGTAACAATAATCAGGCTTTTTAGTCGACATTAACCGGCCAGTGTTTTAATACAGAAAATTTGGACCTTCTCTCTATGAGACGCCCGCCTAGAGAGAAGAGAAATCTAGGTTCAAACTCTGGCTGAGGTAACATTGTCCGCAATAAATTTTCTGTATTGAAACACTGGCCGGTTAATGTCGAATAAAAAGTTTCAGTACCGAAAATTTTATAGGAAAATTGGAATAGCGGGGGTCTCGAGTTGCAGTTTCATCTTTAACACTTGCAAAATCATTTGTACCGTGCGCAGAGCAAAATTACTTTACAAGGCACGCCGCGATTAAAGCAAGGATCGCGGCACAGAAACGCGCGATTACGACGCGACACACTTCTATCGTGCCGCAATCGGTTTTTCGAATCGTCTGCGACCCAGCGGCTGCGATCTAATCTCTTTTGCGGTAAGAAATCCCACGCGCGCGCGAGCTCTCTCGTACACGCGCGGTCCACCGCGAGTAACGTTATCGCGCATCCGGACGGCTTCGATTATCGCCAAAGGGACAAGCGCGGTGGAACAATTCCGCGGGACACTCAGGCTATCTTCGCCGCGGATGTATAATTCAGAATTGCGCGGCTATATGGCAGATGTTTAATGCATGTCGCGGAGCCGTACCCGACTCCTAGCTCGGTTTCAGCATTCAATGTTAATACGTCCGCCCGCGCTCAATCCCAATCGCGTATGCTTGCTTACGCGGCAGATGTGGTAATTTTAGATGTACGGACATTCTCTTTCTCCCGTAATTTCCGCGGACACTTTCTAAAGCGGAGCTTCCTGATAGCGACCGACAATAACTCCGTTCTTGTGGTCCGCGTCTCACTGTATCGCAAATTCAGATTACTAGAGGAAAGTCCCCTATTGCGAGGTAGGATTCTAATATGGGACAGCGGGGTTTCTGTTAAATAAACAGGCGACATCAATTGATTCCACCATGGATCCATTGCCCTCAGAGCGAAATCTGTCCAGCGGAAAATTCATTGTTAGATTGTGTTGCGAAAAAAGATTTGTGATTGATTGGGTGTTGAAAATCTTATCTCATATTAGAAACCTATCTCATAATAGAGGACTTTTCTCTACCTATTTCAGATAATACGAGGTAATTCCATATACGTTTCCCAAACGTGTCTATGGCCTAGTTTACACCGTGCGTTTAGGCCACAACCTATACCTTATATTCAACCCAAACACGATAGGTCGTGACGATGTAAACAGTTGCGACCTCGCTTGGGTCAGGTCTCTTTTTCGCGTGCCCTGACCTAAATTAGGTCACACGACGTAACGCGTGTAAACGCAGGTGACCTAAAGATCGCCTAAAGTGCAGAGTAAACAAAGTACAAACGATATTGGTTATATATGAAGATGGCATTCACATGAGGACTAAATTTTTACCTATATTCGACCCAAAAGTATCATAGGTCTACATGGTGTAAACATGATGTGCACAATCCGACCGGCAACCTCCACGTGGTGCACATTGGGTAACGCTAATACCGGCGATAAACATCAAGAAAATGCATGGTTCGCTTCAAAGTCATGTAACTCGGTCAAGAAAAATCGTAGGAAAATTTAAAAAAAAGCATTTTGTAGGTAAAATGTTGTAGATTGTGGAACTTGCATCAAATTTGTCGAGAGAAATTTTTTTATCGAGCTACAGTGTGTCAAAAATACGTAATTTTAAGGAACAAAACAATGTATTCTTTTTTAAAGCACAGAACGAGGAAGATGAATATATCGAAATAAATCATTGACAGAGTTTTAAAGTTGAAACTTCAAGCTTTAAGATGCTTTTTTAATTTTGTGTCTACAATTATTTTTCGCCGAGTTTCAGTGGTTTGAAAATAGCCCAATTTTTAGGGTATGAAAAGTGTTCCCTATTTTTTTTTAGTAGTGTATTTAGTAGTATAAAAAACCAATGTGTGTCACTTGACATATTTGTACAAGAGGAGGACTAACAAATTCTCCTGTTAATTTTTTTCGCTATTTGCACATAGTCGATCGGATCCTATTGGTGATGTTAATAGTAATCCCGTTTTGCGGTCAGTGCGACAACAAAAATTGAGTGTGTCGCAATGTAACTTAATGCGCCTCGGTTAAATTTGATTTCTCATCGAATGCGTATGCCGTGTCATTCGATGCTATTTCTCTTTTCGGAAAACAAACGCCATTGTACGGCAACTCGAGCGGGCAGTAAGGAGTACGCTAAGTCCCGTGATTTAGAGGCCCTCCCGACGCCATCGGGAACGCAATCCACCATCGATCTTCGCGTAAAACCACCGCTGCTGGTACCAACCTCTGTCGTGCGCGGTACCGCGGCTTATCCGGTGGGCGATCTAGAGAAGATCGATCGATAGCCGATCACTATCAATCGATACCACCCGCCTCTCCGTCCAACTCCGTGCGCGACCCCCGATTCGACGATTGAAATATAAGCCTTCGAGCTTCTTTAGTATGAGCGTATTCTTTCGTTGAGGTTTTCAAAGAGGAAATCTGAATTGGATTCGACATGGATCGATTGGCAAGATGATGCACGCACATATACATACGAGCAGCATGCAATACAAAAGCTCTCCGTGATAAATGTTGATTAAAAACAGCACAACCAACGGTCTTTCCAGCTTTATCTCGTCCTGCCTTCGTGAATCGGGACACCCGTCCGATCGTGGGCCGCGAAAAAATGCATATTAAAAATTTTCCAAAGCCCGATCATTCGTCTATCCGCGCGTGCATTAGCCACTCGTTTATCCCGCGTTAGCCTCGCTCGCAACAGTTTTTTGCTTCGTCAGGGCCCCGGGCCCCGTTTCTTGCCCGGCGTCGTCGCCGCAATCTCCCGACTGCATTTGGCGTTGCACTTAAGCGCGCAGCACACTTATGGGCGCGTGTGTGCACGCGTGTATACCAGCCGGCATATAAATTTCACCATGGCCCCCATACATATTTGGCCGCGCGGTTATATTTCAATCTCGAATGGGGCGCCCGTGTGTCTCTCCCATCTCCCCCCGTCCCCGCCGTTTATCCCCAACCCCCTTCGATCGGCGCCAGAACACAACTCGTGCCAGTCGTGTTTCGCGTAGACGGGGCGCAGCCCGTTCCCCATTGTCTCGGTTGCAAATTTTTCGCGTGTACAAGCATCCGGGGACCGGACCGCGGCTCCATGGGGGGCATCGTATCGTGTAGACCCTTTCGATTCTTCCGCGCGCGTTCACCGTGTCTCCGCGCGTCACACCGACTTGGACGACAAATGCACGTATTTGCTTACTACTGTCCGGCTAATCTGTTTAGTGCGCGGCAATCGGAGAAATCGCGGAAGGATAAAAAGTACTGGTGCAACACTGCACCGAGAAAAGTATCCAATTACATAATAACAAACGGATATATCCGATTAAATTGTATATCCAGTGAAAAATATCATCGGTTTTTCGATCAAATTTCATCGATAACAGCATCTCATCGGATATACATATATTATACATAATTTAATTGGAAAAGTTTAGCGGAAAACATTAACCCTCGGACACACTATTTAATTAGTTTAGCCGATGGAAATTTTTCTCAGCGTGATGTGTAAAACTCGGCCTAGGCGAAGTCACCCCTATTTACTCTGCTCGAGAGATTAACGAGAAGACAATAATCTCACAAGAGATATATCTATATGAATCTTGTTAAATACATGTATTACAAACTTTCGTCAGCTCTAAACGATAAAGACACTCGTGTATCCAAGAGTTAAAAAATTATCTGACACATACACACATCTGTTTTTTAATCCATCATTCGCTGACCATACTAATTACTTCCCGTACGAGAAACGCATCGATCATTGTCTTCCCGCTTGCATGAGTCGCGCGGCCCGAAAGACAGACCGGGGCCGGCCGGGTCGACCTCTGATTCACCTCTCGGCACATCAAAAAACGCATTCTTCGGGTTCGACGAGCAGAACGGACCGCTTTGCGTCCCCCGCGCTCGGCTCGGCTCGGCCCAGCGAGGGAGGGCCCTAGAGACGGATGGCGCCGGAACACAAAAGTTACGGCTGTTGCACCCGGTTGCATCCGCGCCGCCGGAGCACCCGATCGCGTCGCGACGGTGTATGTAGTACACGTGACTCGATCGCACGTTTGACATTGTTTGTACGATGAGGAGGGCCCCACTATTGTTCCCGGAGCGGATCATGTGAATCGCTTGGCACGGCGTATCGCGACTCGCAAATAATAATACTTGCGAGACGACAAACAAAAGGTCGCGCCGAAATGCGGCGAGTCTGCACCATCATTGTGCGCCCTTGCACACGAATGCACGTGGATCCCAGCGCGATCCCTAACCCTTTGCGTCCCAGTGGTTTTGCTGCGAAACCGCTTCGAGCCGTCGTATTTCTTCAATTTTTCGTCGTCTACTTTTGACGATTGCGACGTAATTGAATATTCGCGTTATTTTTAAAAACACCAAGTACAATAATCGATATTATGAATATTATTTTAATTTTTGTAATTTTTTTGGTATAATTAAGAGTCATTTATGAGTATTTGTATAATGTACAATAAATGGTTTATCTTTTTAAAAAAGCACGCTTTTTCTCTTATTACCCCCGCAAAGAGTTAAAACATGAAGTCGAGTAATAGAATTGTTTCAACTTTAATAGGCGACTCGTATAAGATATCGGGATAAAACTTTATCTCGTTGCGTCTTGTTTAAAAGCTTAAGTATTAATGTGACTCGTTCGATACCGACCAATTGAAATCACGGAAAAAATACGTTAGCATTGAGCAATCATATACTTTCTCCGCAGTCGCGATACAAGCTACGAACGGAATATGTTAATTTTACTAATCAAGTTGCGTGCACGTCCTGGTTCTCAACACCTCCAAGCAGTTCCTTATTTAATATCTTATCTCAGGTAACGCGCGTGACTGTTCGAATGTTAATTTGCTCGGCGAGAAGTAACGTTCCCTTATTTACTTCGTGTACGCCGGGTATGAGAGGCCCAGGGATTTGTGGACTGGTTTGATCCGACTAAGAGAAA